GGTATAAATCTAAATTTTCTTCATCCTAGTTAAATCGCACGAAACATTCATCTGACTCATACCTGGGAATTTGCTTGGCTTCGTGAACGTACCCTCTGTACGAGGAAATGTCGAAGTCCGAAAAATTTATTGATGGGTCAAAATAGGTTAATATTTAACGGCTCCAAGTTTCCTTGTTTCGTAATGTCAGTAACAAAGCGAAATATCTTCCAGTTTCTTGATCCTTAGTGAATTACCATTGTCAAAGTCCTTTTTTTCTCCATAAAAAAGTACCAGAACTCTAGCACGGTTGAGTTAAATGCATAGACTTAAGTTGCGTTACTCTAGTGACTGACCTTTTAAATGCACCGTACGTTATATCACGGCAGTCACGGAACAGATCGTTAGCCAGCTAGTAGAGTGCGGTGCTTCAAAACTGATAAAATTGACCCATTTTGACTGTTTTCCTCACTTCTTAAATTAGAGATTTCCTTCAAGAAGCCAAGCCAATTCCCAGGTATGTTTAAGATGGATGTCTAAATGAGTGATCAATACTATTAGGTTGAAGAGAATTTGGCGTTATACCACATGTAGCCTGCGTAGCGAGCGTTTCCGTGTGGCTTTGGAGCAAGGAATTAGCTTGAAAACCTGTTCCTCATTTTTGAATCATGTCAGTTCGACTCTTGCCACGAAATAATATTTTGGTCGATTTTTTTTGACGGTCGCTCTTATAAAACTTCTAAGCACAAGGAACTGTCAGCATTTAGCTTAACCGTCCTGTAATGTCATACGTATGCCTTTTAGCGCTTGAAGACCGTTGTAGTTTACCTAGATACTCTTAGTTATCGGAAGGAATGTTTCCTTTTCAGCAGCCACTATACAACAAAAGACTGCCCTGTGTGAGGATGAATGAAATGGTCACTACTTGTTTTCGTTATCCGTGATATAATGGTAGTTCCAAGGACAATGGAAAGAAGGATAATAAGCATCATAATACTAATTATATAAAAATGTCGAAATAATCTCGAAATAATCTCGAAAATAACAAAAGTAAGCCTTTTGGAAAGAATGCTAATAATAATACTAATACTTTACGAAGTCGAGTGAGGTCGAGAATAAAATTTTATCGATACAAAATGATGAGGCAGGGTTTCGTTTAAATTGGTTAGCATAAACACCCCAATGGGGTGGTAGCTTTGATGGCTGACGGTTAATTATTTTTTTTTGCCAAATTTGACGGTTTACGGTTAAACTTTACAGCTTTTAACGATACACGGTTCATTGGAAGTAAGTAAATATTAACTTCTGTATTAATCAAATACTAACTGTTGTGGTTTAGAGGTTCTCTTGGCCTTTCACAAAATTTCGAAAATTTTCAGGTATAAGAAACTTCAAAAGTCTTGTAATGTCTAGAGAGAGTGGTCTTGAGAACACGAGAACTGGATTTTCCAGTTTAGAGATTTTTCAGGAGCCAGACGTCCGTGAACATTAGGTTAAATAGTAAGATTTGAAGCCGTTCGACGGCTGACGGTTAACTGCATTGAGTCCCTCTAGCAAGAAACATTAAATGATTCATTCACCAGTTGTGGGATGTTATGTTCAACTGCATGTAGCAACCATGAAGTGTGACATTGGTCGTCGCGCCTAACTACGTAACTTCTAAATACGAATGCAACAACACTGAACAACTCATTTATTGTGTGAAGAATATAAATCAGACTTCTAATTCGGAGAGTCAGTGTACGGGAGCGTCTATCTTATTCTCGGCTTGCACTGTCACGCAATGAAAAATAAAAATGCAAACCATTCAGTACAGAAGGACTAGAATCTGGGAAATGAAAAAAGATAAATATACAAAAACCCTTGCCAAGAATCAGGTCTGTCAAATATTTCAAATGCGAGATACTGAGAAAAACGGTTTACCTAAATTTATAAAGCTTTGTATGGAAACGCCATGTTGGTGTCCCTTTCAGGAACACCAATATGGCCGCCGGATACCATCAGAAACATCTGTTTTCGAGTGTTCCTACTAATGCGTGAATTCTTCGCTTGAGGAACTCATAAAGATTACAGTAATATTTATTCTGAGACAAGGAATGTTTAGATTGCAAAATCTCCCACATAGGAGCTTTCCCGGCCGCCAGCTAAATGCCGCGTCACGCAAAAGCCTGGAAATTCAAGCGTCCTCTCTCACAAAACGAAGAACCCTTTCGAACCAAAAATTTGTTATGTAATGGTGTTTAGGTACTGTAATAAGTACACCTCGTGAAAGTAGAAACTCAGAAGAATCGATAGTTTCTTGGTTTGATTTTCGGTGACGTCACGTGCAACCCAAGAATATTCAAATGAGAAGCGAAACAATTGGTTTCGGATTTTCTTGTCTACTTACGTTTCGTGAAACCGATGAAATAGTGAACACTGTAGGGGCTTGAAGAAAGTCAATTAGAAAGTTTGGGTCCAGTATAACCGATCTTTTTTTCAAAGATACTTGAGCAGATGTGATACATAAAAAATCAAGTTATCTATATGATAACGTTTATGCAATTCAACGCTTGGAAGCCCTCAAAAGCAGCATACCCACCACCTTGTTTCTGTATGGATAGCTTATGCTTTGCTCCCAGACTGTTTATAATAGGTTGATAGTTGTAAATGTATCTTCTTTACATAATCTTTATCATTATCATTATCACTATCATATTATCGTTAATATTATTATTGTTAAGAAAAAGCGACTTTTAAAACATTAAAGTTGCGACAAAACTTTTCTTAAATGTTTTTAAGAACTGTTTTGTCGAAATTTTAAAACTTACACGACGTTTCGACGTTACCGGACTTCATTATCAAGTAAAAAGAAATAAAATATGCATGGTATATAAATACAAGAAAAACAATTATCATAGTTCATTAAGAAAAAGAAAAGTAACGTATAAAAATATGTTACAAGTTAGACATGTCAAAGTGTTTTGCACTGACGGAGTCACTCTGGGTGTCAAGGCCAGGCCCCAGTTCTTTGATGAGTCAGTATCATTTTATAAATGAGGCAGTCAAATTTTTCGTGCCACTACTTGAAAAAATTGGTCCTCATTAAGAAGATTTTTGTCACCGTGGGCTTCTAAAAAAACATTAACGTTTACCGATAGCTGAATACTTGTGTTTAGCAATGCGTTGATGAAGGTGTCGGGCTGTGTAGCCAACATAATCTGCATCACACAGATCACGTGCAAATTTGTAAACAACGCAATGCTGACTTACAATACTCTGCTTAATTTCTTTTGGCTTAAGATCTTGCTCCAGTTATTTTGCTCACAAAAATAGGCTGTAAAGTGACGGCAATCTTATTGCTGAGATCACGTAATTGCCTACAGACTGCGTTAGCGGCTATCTGATCTTTGAAGGGATCGAAGAACTATTCTGATCGTTATGGGCTCCTGGTAATAATACATCTCCTTCCTGTTCCGGTGAATGTGAAAAAAGTATATACACATCATAGTCTATAATTAAAATAGTAATTAATAACAACTATGATAACACATTATTTGAGTAAAACCCGGATGCCGATCGGCAGGAGAGTACACAAGTGCGATGCCTGAAACATAATAGACGCGTTATGGCCGTTATCGTTCTATCTCATTGTCCGTTTTCGCTTGTGGCAAAGAGATATCGGAACCCTGAGAAAAGCAAAGCCACATTATTGGAAGATCTTCTAGAAAAAATCATATTAGAGAGATGTAGGGTGACGCTAAGGCAAACTGCAAAGGTCAGAGTTGAGAATTTCTCAAAATAAAAAAACATGCTACTAAAAAAACAGACCAAAACAATTGTTAAAGACATAACTAATGTGAAGCCACTCTTTTGGGGGTAGAAGAAGAAGTGATGAACAGTAAAGCAAAAGTGAAGAGAAAACTTGGTCACGTGATATAGAATCACTTTCGCCGTTTGCTATAAACCCGACTCTAAATCTCTCTAATATTTTGATAGCGAAACCGCAAGAATTTTTTTCACAAAGTTAAGGGTTAGGAAAATGTGCGTTCATTTTAATATAGGCAAAGAAAAGCATGCAAGTACACCCGAAACATTTAAAATATTTAATAAAGACTCATCTATGATGTGGGGCGAGTGTCGGCGCTCATCTTATACATCATATCTGTCAATAATAAAGTTTCGACAGATAAGAGAGTCAGATCGATTCATAGTGATATTTCTAAAAGCTTTGACGGCGATAAAAAAGTACGTAGTTGTTCAGCAATGATTTACTCGCATACTCATAACAAAATCTTACATTTAAATGTCATCCATTCAATACGATTCCTTTAGCACCCTGTGATGCGAAAGCATTAATTAAGAAACTCACGCTCGGTCAACAAAACGCAAGAGTTAGCTAAGCCGGTTCTTTTACGGACTGAATTTGAAAATCCAAAATCTTAAACCTTTTTTTCAGGTTGTGGATAGGAGTCATTAGCTTAGTATAAGGTTAAAACGGCCGAGTTTCATTTCCATCAGGGTCAATATTGAAAGAAAGTGAGCTTTTTAATTTTAAAAGCCTTGTACACCTGTTCTAAATAAGAAGAATTTTGCGTGTCAATGATCTTCAGTAAACTACGGTCTTACGAAGAAAGCAGCTCAAAACCCTTGACTACTTGTACTGGTTGTCAAAACATTATCATTGGAAGAAACAATTTCAGTTTAGTGCCCTTTTACCCATTGCAAGCAATACATCGCCATTTATTAGTTGCAATGAATGACATGTTGTTTTTAAAACTATGGTTGGGTGTAAGGTTTAAAGATGTGGTCTTTAAATTATAATTTACATATCTATGAAATCGCATAAAAGGAGGAACGAAGCTACTCAAAAAGTCAATTCTTGTTATGAAAAACTGGTTCCGACTCCTAAGAGAACTGTTTTTTCAAACAAAGGGTCAAGAAGTGCAGTGACTATCCTCAGAATTTTCATCATGTCTACAAATTATACTAACAATTCCTTAAACCAGGAATTTTGTAAATTTTTGGCGGAACCTATTTTTGTGATAATTTGCAAATTAATTTTCTTGTCCATAATTTTGATCTGTAGCTTGGTTGGAAATGTTCTTATCATAACTGTGGTTAGTTTGAGGCAAGAGCTAAGGAAGACGATAAACTTTTTTATAGTTAACATGGCAGTTTCCGATCTCATTATCCCGTTGGTGTCCATCCCATTTAGTTTGGCTGGAATCGCGACAAATTCTCTACAATGGCCCATCAGAGGTTTACCGGGTTTGATCTCTTGCAAGCTTAGTCAATTTTTGAAGCCTGCCTCATTAACCGTCTCTGTGCAAAGTCTTCTTTGGATTGCACTGGATCGATTTGTGGCGGTCGTGTTGCCGCTGAAAGCGAATCTTATTTCGTCAAGATTTCGTGCATTTGCAATCGCGTCCACTTGGGTTGTGGCAGTGTTAATCAACTCAACAGATTTGTACACTACTAAGTTAGTTGAAGATGGTGGAAATTTTTACTGCAGAAGAGAGAATTCGATACTACGCAATACTTTTGGATATGGGCGTGTTGTCCTTTTAACAATAGCTCCATTGCTGTTAGTTACCATTTTGTACTTTGCGATAGCAGTGACCTTGGGAAGGCAAAACAAAACTCTTCGATGTACAGCAGTAAAAGAGCATAGTCAAAGGAAAACCAAAGCTATACGGATGAGCCTTTGCATCATAGTTACGTTTAACCTATGCACTCTTGTCTACACCATTCTGACAATAGCTAGTCTTCAAAGTGAAGCCGCAAATTTATCCTGTTTCGTTAATAATGTTTTATGGTTTTTGGCTCTTCTTGGTATGTACTTATGTTCAGTCGTAAATCCATTCATTTGTTTCACATTTGTTAAAAGCTATCGGCGTGGAGTGAGAGAAATATTTACTTGGAGAAATTACGGTAGGGGTCGAGAAGATCTAGAAAATAATAAACATGGCAGTTAAAGGAAAGGACAAGGGGATTTACCGTCAAACGGATGAACTGAAACCTCCATAAGAAGCAGTTCTCTGTTTATACACTACATGGTGCCATTACTTTTATCATTTCCTCTTTTCCTTCTTTTTGTCAACCGAAAAGAAAGATAGCGACCATCTAAATGAAAGTCACAATAATGATGATGAATCATGTTAATATTTCATATTCTTGAATCTGTAAATAGTAAAATTTAATAATTATTATATTTATCATTGGGATGAACATAGAAATTTTCTTTTTTTTAGTTTACAGACAGTTTACATTTGCTCTGTTGAAAACCACCAGACCACCAAGAAGTCTTTTTTTAAACTATAGTTATACTAAATTTGTACTTAATTTTCAATTTGAGAAGAGTTTAATTAAGTATTATTATTATTTTTTTAAAAAAATTATTATTATTATTAATTAAGGGTAGCACGTAACTCAAAAATTATGATTCATAAAGATATAGGTTTGTTAATTTTAAACTCGTACTTCAACTACTCGTTTCAAGCGTGAAACTGTGGATTCACATTATAGCCATTATGTGCCAAGAAAATCGTAAAAGCGTGAACACAATCTGTATTTAGCCCTCGATATGTTCTACTTGTTTATCCATAAGTTCAGAATCTGATCCACACCTTAATTTTGATGAAGGCCCAGTTTCTTAGACTTCCCATTCATACGCGACGGCGCAGAACTGAAATAGAAATTATTAGAGGAACGCATTTGTAGTATAGTAGTAGTAATAGTGGTCTTCAAGATGAAGTTCCAATGGCCTGTCTCGGTAAAGGTGTTATATGTTTTTTTGCTCTTTGTGGTCTTAAATTTACTGCATTCGTGAATCCATCCATGTGCTTTACATTTACTGAAAGCCGTCGACGTGATTTTGCCGGAACAGCTTTTTAATGCCGCATTTAAGGGTGCCAATGCAGAAAAGCCATGTCACCGACAGGATTCATGGCCGCCAGACTGACTTAGGTTACATCAGATAATCTTGGAGTTTAAGCAGTGATCATCAGTTCCTTTTTGAGGTTAGATGGTAAGGTTGTAGCGTAAACATTTGACCGGGCGTAAAATTCATGTGTTTTCCACATTTTTCTGTAAAAGGGGACAAAAACGTTAATGTTTAAAGGTCCATTATTATTTGTGTAAACCATAGGGCATATTAATTCAATATATGGAAGAAAGTATTCTAAGCCTTTTCTTCTTAAAAGAGAGCCACGTATAATGCAATGTGTATGTAAAAACAAAATAAACAACATTGAATTTCTTACCCTTATCTTATATATCATAACATAATTAAATCCAACACAATATTTGACTAAAACACAAATGCCGATTGGCAGGAGAGTAAATAAGTAAGATGCCTAAAACATAATTAAAATCTTATAGATGCTTAATGATCTTTATGTTTCCATCTGATTGACAATGTGGAATCAGGACCCACGTAAAAGCAAATAAAGCCACATGAACCAAGTACCGGAGAGAGAGTATATTGTCTAGCATTAATGGAATATAACCGATATAATCTCAACCATCTGATCACGAAACTGCAAGTAATATTCTTATAAACGCTCGGGGGTGCGAAAAATGCCTTTCTTTTAATATTTTCAAAGAAGAGCAATAACGGACAATTTAAAACATATTATAGTTCATTAAAATACGTCTTTAATGTAGGGGGTGTTGTGCACATTTTAATATATCAGTCGATAATGAAGTTATTTTGACACGTAAGAGAAGTCGATTATAATTTTCGTATTAATCTTTCTAGAAGCTGGGTTGGCGATAAAAACAAGACAAGCAACAATAATGTCATCAAATAAATAAGACTAAATCTCATGTCAAAATGAAATCCATTGAAAAAAGCACTCTTTAATGCCAAAGCCTAAAATGCAAAAAACTCAAAGTTGGGAAAACCGCCTCTTTAACGAACAAATTCACCAATTTTACGTCTGAAACTTTTTTTCCATTTTTGATGCGAGCCATCAGCTTGGTATAGGGTTAAATGGATTTCAGTTCCATCTATGTCAGTATCGAAAAAGGGCTGAACTTTTGTTTTTAATTGAGCCTAGAACCCTCTTGTATTATAGACTGATTTGAATAAAAAAAAAACCTTGCAAAATTAGCAGATTTTCGTTCCTACTGGCCCCCAGTAAACAGCGGTCCTCGTCAGTTTAAATAACCGGACCTAAATATTGTGCATTAATGCTGATACCAAAAGTCTTATAACAACTATTAATCCTTCTATGATTTCTTCTTCTCATAGCATTTTCAGGTGGAAAAGATAAGTGTCTGTTTACCCAAGGTGTGTTCTGGAAATTATGAGTGATTTGCCTGTTTATATAATTCTGTTGGAGAAACTGATATATAATTATATATAAAAAATGAACAAATAAATAAAAAAGAAAGAAAGAAAGCGAGCAGCTACTCAAAATAGTCATTCCGTTTTGTAAAACTGCTTCAAATTCTTATCTTCTGAGAACTATGTTAATAACTGGTATGAAATAGAAAGGACTCTGCATGCTCAGCATTAGACATGTCTACAAGTTTTACTAACGATTCGCTAAGCCAGAAAATTTGCGAAATCTTGAACGAACCTTCGCCGTGGGCATACGGGATTCACCAGAAAATATTCTATATTTTATGCTCGATCGTCAAGATGGCTATGCCGCTCATACTATAGAATGCAAATAAAACTTTTCAAAATAAACACCTTGCTTTCAAAGATCACCAATATTTAATTGAAGTTTTTAAAATGGAGTGCACTAAGGCTGATATTGTCTCATTTCAACTAAAAACCTAATGTTTTTTTTGTTTCCATAGGGACATTTATTAATTTTTTCTTAACCCTAGTTATATATCGCCTTTTGCCGTTAGTTTTCCCCAATGTTTAAACATGTAGTTTAAAAAGTATGCAAATAAGATTTGTCAAAGGCGTGGCCTTCAGGAAATCTTATAGATCTGCATTAATCTATGTATTTTTGCTGGAGGGATTCACCTACGAAAAAGAGATCAGCGGCTTAAACTATTCGTCCTATTTTTTGCAATTCGTTGCGATCATTTTCAAGTTCTCTGGATGTTTTGGTGGTAGCCAGAAGGAGATTATGTTTATTTAATAACAATTGGCATAATTTGTAGCCATCCTTAAAGCACTCTTAGAGAGAACGCGCAAGTGCTCAGCATTTTGAATATGTCTGAGACAAATTATACTCAAAACAGTTACCTTAACAAGGAACGCTGTGAAATGTCGACCGATTCTTTTTTCCTGCAAATATTTCAACTGATTTTCTTTTCCATTATTTTGATCTGTAGCTTTGTTGGAAATGTTCTTATCATAATTGTGGTGCGTGTGCGACAAGAGCTGAGAAGGACGATGAACTTTTTTATACTGAACATGGCAGTTTCTGATATGATATTTCCGTTGGCATCTCTTCCGTTTAGTGTGGCTACAATTTCGGCCAATTCGCGGGGATGGCCCATCAGTGGTACGCCAGGTTTGGCTTTGTGCAAGCTCAGTGTATTTTTGACGGCTGTTTCAGTTACCGTGTCTGTGCAAAGCCTTATCTGGATCTCGCTGGATCGATTTGTGGCGGTGGTGTTGCCACTGAAAGCGCTTCTTATATCCTCGCGATTTCGCGCTTTTGCAATTGCGTCTAGCTGGGTTGTGGCTGTGTTAATCAACTCAACAGATTTGTACACGATGACGCTGATACAGGAAAGTGGCGGGTTTCATTGCACAAGAGAAAAAAATCTTTCTTTGGTACTCAAAACAACTATGTATTTTCGTGTTGTCCTTATATCGATCGCACCATTACTACTAATCACCGCGTTGTACTCTGCCATAGCAGTGACGTTAAAAAGAAGAAACGCAACCCTTTCATACTCATCGACAAAAGACAACGATCAAAGAAAAAGGCAAGCATTAAAGATGAGCTTGTGCATTATAGTTGCGTTTAATCTTTGCGCTCTTCTTTTCATCATAATGGCGGTGGCTGGTCTTCAAGATGAATTTCCCGTGTCCTGTCTCGGTTATAAGGTGTTATGGTTTCTTGCTCTTTCTGGTCTTTACTTTACTTCAGTCGTGAATCCATCCATGTGCTTTACATTTATTGAAAGCTATCGACGTGGACTAAGAGAAATATTTACTTCGAGACGGGCCGGTACGAAGAAGATCCAGAAATCTAAGAATCCTAGAAAGTAGGGATGAAGATGAGGAAATTTATCTCATAAGGAGACATTCCAAGAATGTCATTCGACATGCAAGTATGGTTGCAGGCTGTTCTTTTGGTTTGAGAGATGCCAAACTTCATGCAATCACTTCTTCTGTTATACACTCAGACATCTCTCCGGTATTTCGAACACTTGTTTTTTGAGCCATGATTTTACCGGAAGAACTTTTTAATGTCGCATTTAAGAGTGCCAATGCCAAAAAGCTATGTAACGGCGACAGGATTTGATTTCATGGGCCGCCAGATTCAAGTTAGATTTAAACCGTTACGCCATTTGGTAATTTGCGAGTTTGAGCAGTGATCATCCACTAGTCCTTATTAAGGTTAGATGGTAAGGTTGTAACGTAAAACTTGACCAGGCGTAAATTTCATACGTTTCAACATTTTATTCTAAAAGGGGGATAAAAAAGGTAATATCTAATCGTCCGTTACTATTTATCTGAACCACAGGGCACAAGTAAATATAGTGTATATGCTAAAGAAGAGCACTTGTTAAGACGCCAAAAGATTCAGTGTGCCAACTTCTAGCCGCATCCCGCATCGTTATCGATGCTATGATAGTTTACTACTTGCATCATAAAGATTCTTGAATAGCTAGAAGCTCTGCTTAATAGAGGTGATTCCTAGCTGCTGAGGAGCTGATTATAATAATATATTATAAAAAAATGACAATTATGAGATTTTAGCCGAGAGTCCACCTCACCAGAGGGTGCTCTTCATTAGGGCCCTAATTAACAATTAAATTACTATTTTTACTTTTCGATATCCTATTGTGCTTTATTCTTTGTCTTTTGTTTCTTCATAAAGGAAAAATTATAAAAAGTAAGACAAAAACAAAAAAAACAAAAACAAAAACAAAACAAAAGAAAAACTGAGACTCCGGCCATCAGGACGACCACTGCAAGTATTTAAAGATGATTTTCCGTAGCTTCCTGTAATCGGATTTTGAAATAAATGATGAAATGAATAAATTATTAAGTTAATAAATGAAAAGGTAAATATTTCGATGAAAAATAAACTAATGTTTTAGAAAATCTTTCTTGCCTTGTTCGGCACGCTTAGGGTAAGAATTTGCTCGAAAAGTCAGGTTATTATTAATACATTGTAGATTCATACCCTACAAAAGTTTTTGTCTAATTGTTTGCTTAAAAACTGTAACACCTGCTGTGGTTAGGACTCAATAAAGAGCCAGTCTTTTTTATAATGTGTCCCACTACCCTTTTTTCGAACAAAGACAGTATTTGTAAACTCAAAAAAAAAATTATCCAGGGACGCAGTAATGATGTCTGTTTTTAGGCCAAAAATACAATTTTCCTCCTTTTTGAAATTCCTCCTTCCTCGACATAAGAAAGGGCCAAGAGAATTTGTTCCATACGACAGGGTTTCGTTATATCGAGATACTCAGTTTACCAATATACTATTTGGCAAAGAAATTGTTCAAGTGCTCATTTATTCAGGGATGGAGTGATGGATTTCTGTATATTAGAGAGATTTAGAGTGACGCTTAAGACAAACTGCAAACGTCAGAGTTGAGAATTTCTCAAAATAAAAAGCTTGCTGCTATAACAAAACAAACCAAAATAATTGTTAAAGACATAACTAATGTGAAGCTACCTTTTTGGGGGCAGAAGAAGTGATGAGCAGTAAAGCAAAAGTGAAGAAAAAACTTGGTCTCGATATAGAATCACGTTTGCCGTTTGCTGTAAACGCAACGCTAAATCTCTCTAATATTTGATAGCGAAACCCCAAGAAATTTTCTTACTAAGCGAAGGGTTAGCAAAATGTGTCTTCATTTTAATGTAGGCAACTAAAAGCATGCAAATACATCCGTACCATTTAAAATTAATAAAGACTTATCTATGATGTGGGGCGAGTGTTGTACATTATATACATATATTTGTCAATGACGAAGTTTCGACAGATAAGAGAGTCAGAGCGATTCCTTGCGATATTTCTAAAAGCTTTGACGGAGATAAAAAGTACGTAGCTGTTCAGCAATAATTTGTTCGCATACTCATGACAAAATCTTACTTCCATTCAATACGTTTCCTTTAGTACCCCGTGATGCGAAAGCATTAAAATTTAGAAACTCACGCTCGGTCAACAAAATACAAGAGTTAGCTAAACCGGTTCTTTTACGGACCAAATTTGAAATTCGAAATCTGAAACGCCTTTTTTTCAGGTTTTGGATAGGAGTCATTAGCTTAGTATAAGGTTAAAACGGCCGGGTTTCATTTCCATCAAGGTCAATATTGAAATAAAGTGAGCTTTTTAATTTTAAAAGCCTTGAACATCTGTTTTATAGACTTAAAACAAACAACTTCAAATAAGCAGAATTTTGAGTGGCAATGATCTTCAGTAAACTACAGTCTTACGAAAAAAGGGAGCCCAAAACCCTTGATTACTGGTTGTCAAAACATCTTCATCGGAGGAAACAATTTCAGTTTAGTGCCTTTTTACCAATTGCAAGCAAACCGTCGCCATTTATTTAGTTGCAACGAATGACATGTTGTTTTTAAAACTGTGATTGGGTATAAGATTTAATGATGCGGTCTTCAAATTAAAATTTGCATGTCTATGCAATCGTATAAAAGGAGGAACGAAGCTACTCAAAGAAGTCAGTTCTTGTTATGCAAAACTGGTTCCGACTCCTAAGAGAACTGTTTTTTTCAAATTTTGGCTCAAAAAGCACGAGTGACTATCCTCAGAATTTTAATCATGTCCGCAAATTATACTAACAAATCCTTAAACCAGGAATTTTGTAAATTTTTGGCGGAACCTATTTTTGTGATAATTTGCAAATTAATTTTCTTGTCCATAATTTTGATCTGTAGCTTGGTTGGAAATGCTCTTATCATAACTGTGGTTAGTTTGAGACAAGAGTTAAGGAAGACGATAAACTTTTTTATAGTTAACATGGCGGTTTCCGATCTCATTTTCCCGTTGGTGTCTATCCCATTTAGTTTGGCTGGAATCGCGACAAATTCTCCAAAATGGCCCATCAGAGGTTTACTGGGTTTGATCTCTTGCAAGCTTAGTGAGTTTTTGAAGCCTGCCTCCTTAACCGTCTCTGTGCAAAGTCTTCTTTGGATTGCACTGGATCGATTTGTGGCGGTCGTGTTGCCACTGAAAGCGAATCTTATTTCGTCAAGATTTCGTGCATTTGCAATCGCGTCCACTTGGGTTGTGGCAGTGTTAATCAACTCAACAGATTTGTACAGCACTAAGTTAGTTGAAGATGATGGAAACTTTTACTGCATAAGAGAGAATTCGATGCTACACAAAACTTTTGGATATGGGCGTGTTGTCCTTTTAACAATAGCTCCATTGCTGTTAGTTACCATTTTGTACTTTGCAATAGCAGTGACCTTGCGAAGGCAAAACAAAACTCTTCGATGTACAGCAGTAAAAGAGCATAGTCAAAGGAAAACCAAAGCTATACGGATGAGCCTTTGCATCATAGTTACGTTTAACCTATGCGCTCTTGTCTACACCATTCTCACGATAGCTAGTCTTCAAAGAGAAGCTCCAAATTTATCCTGTTTCGTTAATAATGTTTTATGGTTTTTGGCTCTTCTTGGTATGTACTTATGTTCAGTCGTAAATCCATTCATTTGTTTCACATTTGTTAAAAGCTATCGGCGTGGAGTGAGAGAAATATTTACTTGGATAAATTACGGTAGGGGTCGAGAAGATCTAGAAAATAATAAACATGGCAGTTAAAGGAAAGGACAAGGGGATTTACCGTCAAACGAATGAACTGAAACCTCCATAAGAAGCAGTTCTCTGTTTATGGATCGTTCTCTTGGACAACATGGTGCTATTACTTTTATCATTTCCTCTTTTCCTTCTTTTTGTCAACCGAAAAGAAAGATAGCGACCATCTAAATGAAAGGCACAATAATGATGATGAATCATGTTCACTTGATTATTATTATTATTATTATTATTATTATTATTATTATTATTAATTAAGGGGTAGCACGTAACTCAAAAATTATGATTCATAAGGATATAGGTTTGTTAATTTCAAACTCGTGCTTCAACTACTCGTTTGAAGCGTGAAACTGTGGATTGACATTATAGCCATTATGTGCCAAGAAAATCGTAAAAGAACACAATTTGTATTTAGCCCTCGATATGTTCTACTTGTATATCCATAAGTTCAGAATCTTCACACCTAAATTTTGATGAAGGCCTATTTTCTTAGACTTCCCATTCATACGGCGCAGAACTGAAATAGAAATTATTAGAGGGACGCATTTATATCTTAAAAGATCTTTTTTTTCCGCGGGAAGAAATTTAATTCGAGACTACAGAATTCTAATCAAAAGGTAGGCCGGTTTTTATTTATGGTGATGGTGATTATGTAAAACGATAAAACGAAAAGATGCCAAAAACAATAGCATCATATATAATGCAGTGAACTTGTTAATTCATAATAATAATAATAATAATAATTTTTTTTAAAAATGTATTCTTTGACCAAGTTCCGATAATAATAACAATAATAATAATAATTAATAATCAAAAAACTTTATTCATAGATTTAAAAAAATAGACTATTTACAGATTCAAGAATATAAAATATTAAAATATATACCCTATGTACATTCTTCTTGTGTACGAAAGAGAATTGTCGTAAAATGACTATCTGAAGACTACTAATAACAATTATAAACAGCATCAAAAAGTTAATAAAAAAAATAAAAACTATTTAAAAATAATAATTCAAACTGATAAAAAGTTACTACTTAAATTCTGGCTTGCGCACTTTCCGATAATAATAATAATAATAATAATAATAATAATAATAATAATAATAATAATAATAATACACTTTATTTGAAGAGTGTAGCACGGAATAGTTAAAGAAACTAGTAAAATTTTGGCCCTCTATACGGGATATTGATATGATTGTTCTAAACCATTTTTTCATTTATTCAGATAGTTATTCGAGCTAGCAGTTTGGCTTTTTAATTTGGCCTCAGACCGTTACATTAACAAAATTTTTTCTCAATGATTTATAGAAGCGACAAGATGGCGTGCAGTTTATACTAGATCGAACAACGAAATCTCTTTATAAAATGAAAATAAAAAAAAACTTGATATAAAGAGCGACCACTATTTAAGATATGAGTGGGAAAAGAACGATAAAGAAACAAACCAAAATCCTCCGATCAGCTATCCTCGTACTGGGTAACAATTTCTTTGGAAAAAGTATCCAGTGTTTCTTTATAAACGCAAGTCCTACTTTCGCGTTGTGTTAGTTGTAACTGGTGCTTAAACATGAAGTTTAAGGAGTATGCAAACAGGATTTGAAGGCGTCAGGATATCATATAAATCTAACTTGTACTCTTGTACTTGTACTCTGCCATAGCAGTGACGTTAAGAAGAAGAAACGCAACCCTTTCATGCTCATCAACAAAAGACAACGATCAAGGAAAAAGGGAAGCTGTAAAGATGAAGTGGTACATTGAAGTTGATTTTAATATTTGCGCTGTTCTTTATATCATAATGGCGGTGACTAGTCTTCAAGATGAAGTTCCCATGGCCTGTCTCGATAAAGGTGTTATATGGTGTTTTGCTCTTTGTGGTCTTAAATTTACTTCGTTCGTGAATCCATCCATGTGCTTTACATTTATTGAAAGCTATCGACGTGGAATAAGAGAAATATTTACTGCGAGACGGGCCAGTATGAAGAAGATCCAGAAATCTAAGAATCCTAGAAAGTAGGGATGAAGATGAGGAAATTTATCTACTAAGGACACTTTCCAAAAATGTCGTTCGACATGCAATTATGGTTGCAGGCTGTTCTTGGGGCTTGAGAGATGCCAAACTTCATGCAATCTCTGCTTTTATTATACACTCAGACATCTCTCCGGTATTTCGAACACTTGCTTTTTAAGCCATGATTTTACCGGAGCAACTTTTTAATGCCGGATTTAAGAGTGCCAATGCCAAAAAGCTATGTAACGGCAACAGGATTTGATTTCATGGGCCCCCAGATTTAAGTTAGATTTAAACGCCATTACGTAATTTTTCGAGTTTGAGCAGTGATCATCCGCGAGTCGTTATTAAGGTGAGATGTTAAGGTTGTAACATAAAACTTGACCGGGCGTAAATTTCATACGTTTCAACATTTTATTCTAAAAGGGGGATAAAAAAGGTAATATTTAATTGTCTTTTTTATTTGTCTAAACCGTAGGGCACACGTAAATATAGTGCATATGCTATAGAAGAGCACTTGTTAAGATGCAAAAAGAGTCAGTGAGCCAACTTCTAGCCGCATCACGCATCGTTATCGCCGTTATGATGGCTTACTACTTGCATCATAAAGATTCTTAAATAGCTAGGAGCTGTGTTTAATGGAGGTGATTCCTAGCGGCCGAAGAGCTGACTATAATAACATACTGATAAAAAAATGACAATTATGAGACTTTAGCCGAGAGTCTACGTCACCAGAACATGCTCTTCAGTAGGGCTCTAGTTAACATTTTAATTTTTCAGGAGCTTATTCTTTGTCTTTGTCTTTGTCTTTTGTTTTCTTCATAAAGCAAAAATTATAAAAAAAGTAAGACAAAAAGATAAAATAAAGTCAACCAAAAAAGAAAAAAAAAACTGAGACTCCGGCCGTCATGACGACCATGGCAAGTATTTAAAGATGATTTTCCGTAGCTTCCTGTAATCAGATTTTGAAATAAATGAAGAAATGAATAAATTATTGAGTTAATAAATGAAAAAGTAAATATTTCGATGAAAAATAAACTAACGTTTTAGAAAATCATTCTTGCCTTTGTTCGGCACGCTTAGGGTAAGAGCTTGCTTGTAAAGTGGTTATTATTAATACATTAATATATACATACCCTACAAAAGTTTTTGTCTGATTGTTTGCTTAAAAACGGTAACATCTGCTTTGGTTAGGACTCAATAAATAGCCAGTCTTACATTGTATATTTATAATAAATTTATAATGGGTCCCACTACCCCTTTTTTCGCACAAAGACAGTAATTGTAAACTCCAAAAAAAATTATCCAGGGACGCAGTGATGATGTCTGTTTTTAGGCCAAAAATACAATTTTCTTCCTTTTTGAAATTCCTCCTTCCTCGACATAAGAAAGGGTCAAGAGAATTTGTTCCATACGACAGGGTTTCGTTATATCGAGATACTCAGTTTGCCAATGTACTATTGGGCAACGAATATTGTTGAAGTGCTCATTTATTCAGGGATGGAGTGATGTATTTCTGTACATTAGAGAGATTTAGTGTGACGTACGCTCAAGGCAAACCGCAAACGTCAGCCGGTTGAGAATTTCTCGAAATAAAAAGTGTGCTGCTATAGAAAAACAGACCAAAACAATTGTTAAAGACATAACTAATGTGAAAGCACTTTTTTGGGGGTAGTGGACGTTATGAACAGTAAAGCAAAAGTGAATAGAAAACTTGGTCACGACATAGAATAGCGTTTGCCGTTTGCTGTAAACGCGACGTTAAATCTCTCTAATATTAGATAGCGAAACCGCAAGAAATTTTCTTACTAAACTAAGGGTTAGCAAAATATGTCTTCATTTTAATATAGGCAACCAAAAGCATGCAATTGCATCCGAACCATTTAAAATATTTAATAAAGACTCATCTATGATGTGGGGCGAGTGTTGTACACATCTTATGCATATATATTTGTCAATAATGAAGTTGCGACAGATAAGAGAGTCAGAGCGATTCTTAGCGATATTTCTAAAAGGTTTGACGCCGACAAAAAGTACGTAGTTGTTCAGCAATAATTTAATCGCAAAATCTTACATCCATTCAATACGTTTCCTTTAGCACCCTGCGATGCGAAAGCATTAATTTAGAAACTCACGCTTGGTAAACAAAATACAAGAGTTAGCTAAACCGGTTCTTTTGCGGACCAAATTTGAAAATTCGAAATCGGAAACGCCTTTCAGGTTTTGGATAGGAGTCATTAGCTTAGTATGATGTTAAAACGGCCGGGTTTCATTTCCAGCACGGTCAATATTGAAATAAAGTTAGCTTATTAATTTTAAACGCCTTGAACATCTGTTTTATAGACTTAAAACAAACAACTTCAAATAAGAAGAATTTTGAGTGGCAATGATCTTCAGTAAACTACAGTCTTACGAAGAAAGGGAACCCAAAACCCTTGATTACTGGTTGTCAAAACATTTTCATTGGAAGGAACAATGTCAGTTTAGTGCCTTTTACCCATTTGCAAGCAATACGTCGCCATTTATTAGTTGCAACGAATGACATGTTGTTTTTAAAACTATGATTGGGTATAAGATTTAATGATGTGGTCTCGAAATTATAATTTGCATGTCTATGCAATAGCATAAAAGGAGGAACGAAGCTACTCAAACAAGTCAATTCTTGTTATGCAACACTGGTTCCGACTCCTAAGAGAACTGTTTTTTCAAACAAAGGGCCAAAAAGCGCGAGTGACTATCTTCAGAATTTTAATCATGTCCGCAAATTATACTAACAATTCCTTAAACCAGGAATTTTGTAAATTTTTGGCGGAACCTATCTCTTTGATAATTTGCAAATTAATTTTCTTGTCCATAATTTTGATCTGTAGCTTGGTTGGAAATGTTCTTATCATAACTGTGGTTAGTTTGAGACCAGAGTTAAGGAAGACGATAAACATTTTTATAGTTAACATGGCGGTTTCTGATCTCATTTTCCCGTTGGTGTCTATCCCATTTAGTTTGGCTGGAATCGCGGCAAATTCTCTACAATGGCCCATCAGAGGTTTACCTGGTTCGATCTCTTGCAAGCTTAGTCTATTTGTGACGCCTGTCTCAGTAACCGTTTCTGTACAAAGTCTTCTCTGGATTGCAATGGATCGATTTGTGGCGGTCGTGTTGCCACTGAAAGCGAATCTTATTTCGTCAAGATTTCGTGCATTTGCAATCGCGTGCACTTGGGTTGTGGCAGTGTTAATCAGCTCAACAGATTTGTACACCACTAAGTTCGTGGAAGTTGGTGGAAAGTTTTACTGCATAAGAGAAGATTCGCTGATACACAAAACTTTTGGATATGGGCGTGTTGTCCTTTTAGCAATAGCTCCATTGCTTTTAGTTACCATTTTGTACTTTGCAATAGCAGCGAACTTGCGAAGGCAAAACAAAACTCTTCGATGTACAGCAGTAAAAGAGCATAGTCAAAGGAAAACCAAAGCTATATGGATGAGCCTTTGCATCATAGTTACGTTTAACCTATGCGCTCTTGTCTACACCACTCTGACAATAGTTAGTCTTCAAAGTGAAATTCCAATAACCTGTCTTGTTTATAATGTTTTGTGGTTTTTCGCTCTTCTTGGTTTGTACTTTTCTTCAGTCGTAAATCCATTCATTTGTTTTACATTTGTTAAAAGCTATCGGCGTGGAGTGAGGGAAATATTTACTTGGAGAAATTACGGTAGGGGCTCGAGAAGATCTAGAAAATAATAAACATGGCAGTTAAAGGAAAGGACAAGGGGATTTACCGTCAAACGGATGAACTGAAACTTCCATAAGCAGGCAACTCTCTGTTTATGGATAGTTCTCTTGGACTATATGGTGCCATTACTTTTATCATGTCCTATTTTCCTTCTCTTTGTCAACCGAAAAGAAAGATAGCGATCATTTTAAATGAAAGTCACAATAATGATGATGAATCACGTTGATTATTATTATAATTATTAATTAAGGGGTAGCACACAACTTAAAAATTCTGATTGATAAAGATATAGGTTTGTTAATTTCAAACTCGTACTTCAACCACTCGTTTGAAGCGTGAAACTGTGGGCTGACATTATAGCCATTATGTGCCAAGAAAATCGTAAAAGCGGTGAACACAGTCTGTATTTCGCCCTGGATATGCTCTTCTTGCATATGCATAAGTTCAGAATCTCCACACCTTAATTTTGATGAAGGGCTAGTTTCTTAGACTTCCCATTCATACGGCGCAGAACTCAAATTGAAATTATTAGAGGAAAGTATTTATATCTTAAACGATTTTTCTTTTTCTGTGGGAAGAATCCGCGCGACTACTGAATTCTAATCAAAAAGTAGGCCGGTTTTTTATTTCTGGTGATGGTGATTACGTAAAACGAATAGATGCCAAAAACAACAGCATCATATATAATGTAGTGAACTTGTTGATTCATACTGGATATTTATATGATGGTTCTAAACCATTTTTTCATTTATTTAGTCAGTGTGGCGACTTGTAGCCGCATCACGCATCGTTATCGCTGTTATGATGGCTTACTACTTACATCATAAAGATTCTTGAATAGCTAGGAGCTGTGTTTAATAGAGGTGATTCCTATCAGCCGAGGAGCTGATTATAATAATATACTGATAAAAAAATGACAATTATGAGATTTTAGCCGAGAGACTATCTCACCAGAAGGTGCTCTCAGTAGGGCCCCAATTAACATTTTAATTACTACTTTATGCTTTGCGATATCCTATTGTGCTTTATTCTTTGTCTTTGTCATTTGTTTTCTTCATAAAGCAAAAATTATAAACAAAGTAAGACAAAAAGAAAAAAAAAGAAACAAACAAACAAAAACAAACGAAAAACTGAGATTCCGGCTGTCATGACGACCATGGCAAGTATTTAAAGATGATTTTCCGTAGCTTCCTGTAATCAGATTTTGAAATAAATGATAAAATGAAGAAATTATTAAGTTTATCAATAAAAAGGTAAATCAATCGATGAAAAATAAACTAAATAATGCTTCATAAATCTTTCTTGCCCTTGTTCGGCACGCTTGAGGTAAGAACTTGCTTGCAAAGTGGTTATTATTAATACATTATAGATTCATACCCTACAAAAAATACAGCTGTAAACTCCAAAAAATAATAAGTGCTCATAATATTTATGTGGGGATGCGGTGATCGATGTCTGTTTTTAGGCCAAAAATGCAATTTTCATCCGATTTGAAATTCCTCGTCCTCGACATACGGAAAGAGTCAAGAGAATTTGTTCCATACCACAGGGTTTCGTTATACTGAGATACTCAGTTTACCAATATACTATTCTGCCAAGCCAAAAATATTGTTTAAGTGCTCATTTATTCAGGGATGGAGTGATATATTTCTGTTTGTAGGCCAAAAAAAACATAAGAAAGGGTCAAGAGATTTTGTTCCATACAACAAGGTTTCGTTATATCGAGATATTTTACCAGTATACAATGGGGCAAAGAGTATTGTTCATCACCCTGAAGACTTCGTTTTATGAGGCTCGAATAAATAAAGGTCAATACACTGTACTGTTACGAAATCCTACTCGGGAGGTTCCTAATGTATTTACATATTAACTGCTTCTGGATTCATGATAGTGAGGCAGTTTTTTACTCCTTTTTCTTGTAGTTGAGATTGTACCCCTTAATTTCTATCAAGCTTGATTACTTTCTTTTTCATATATATCTGAATATCTTTATTTCGGCCAATTTCCCTCTCCCTTACTTTTGCACGTAGATTATGCGCCAAGCTTCTCTTACAAGAACCTTGCTTTGGCAGTTCATGCTATTTTAATTAGCGATTCCAGTCAAGTTACAAAATTCTTATAAGGCAAACGACACAAGTAGTTCCATTATAGGTAGGAAAATGTACCCCAGTTTAAGTAAATATAACGAAGTTTGGTCCAAGAAAAGTAAATAGTAATTTCATAATATTTTCTTATCAAGCACTCCTTGCAGATGTTTTCCAACACACATACATCATGGTTATATCAACCAATTAATGATTTGCCACGTAGCTTGTCACAAAATTTTCATAGAAAGGAGGTCATTTTTCTCATCACTGACAGTCAGTTTCGGCAGTTATTGATGAGTATAGATGATGTTTACTCTTTGCACAATTCTGCGGCCTATTATTTGCATGTATTAGCTCGAGACTCTGTGCGAGTAAATACAGTGAAAAAGAGAGAAGGACTGAAAATTGCGACACAATTTTATCTCGGTATCTTCGGTATACTCTTGAAGTCCACTGCAGATATTCGTTATCACCAATTGAAATAGAGGCAACGAATATTTATAGCCGCGTGGCTCAAGTTGGTACTTTCTAAGATGTTCACAAATTTTACTGACGATTTGTTAAGAAGTCAGGAGAATTGTGCGAGTTCGGGTGACTCGTCCTCTTTGAAAACTGGCAAATTGATTCTTCTTTCCAGTATTTTGATTTGCAGCTTGGTTGGAAATGTACTTATCATAACTTTGGTGCGTTTGCGAGAAGAGCTAAGGAGGACGATGAACTCATTTATAGTTAACATGGCGGTGTCCGATCTTATTATTCCCATACTGTTAATGCCATTTAGCTTGAGGGGAATTGCGACCGATTCTTCAAATTTCCAGTGGCCTATCAGGGGAAAGCCTGGTTTAATCTTTTGCAAGCTCAGTGTTTTCCTGGTAGCTGTCTCGATAACAGTTTCTGTGCAAAGTCTTCTCTGGATGTCAGTGGATCGATTTATGGCGGTAGTGATGCCATTGAAAGCGCATCTTATCTCCTCAAGATTTCGTGCGTTTGCAATCACGTCCATTTGGATTGTGGCGCTAATAATTAATTCAACAGATCTGCTCACAACTAAGTTGGTCGAAAATGATGGTAATTTGTACTGCATGAGAGAAAACATTACTTCGGCGCTACTTAAAGCCCTCGGCTATGGGCGTGTTTTCCTTGTATCGATCGCTCCTTTTCTAGTAATAACTAGTCTGTATTCTGTCATAGCAGTGAAGTTACGAAGCCAAAACAAAAACCTTCGGTGTACAGCAGCAAAAGAAAACGATGAAAGGAAAAGGAATGCCATTAAGATGAGCATATGCATCATAATCACTTACAATATTTGCGTTCTTCCTTACATGATATTCGCAATGTCTTATGTATCAGGGGCAAAATTGCCCTGTTTGGTATATGGCTTGTTTGGCTTTTTTACTGTTCTTGGTATTTACCTATCCTCTACTGCGAATCCTGTTATTTGCTTTATATTTGTTAAAAGCTACAGACGTGGATTAAGGGGGTTATTTTCTTCTAACCCGAGTAAAAAAAGGGGTATCCAAAATACTGAGAGAAACAGAAAGATGTACGCAATTGACCTTCAGATAATTGAGCTTAAGAAACTGAGGAAAACTAAGGTGTTACCTTGACCAATCCTTGACAGAGTTAATCTTAAGATTTACCATCTGAAGTTGACGCGAGGCCTTTAAATCGTGGGACTCTGCCATGTCCGCGGGTCAAAGAGGAAAGCTATTTTTTCTGCGCAATTAGTTTATTACGAAGACAAGAAAAACAGAATAATCCTTTGCTGTCGAGAGGGAAAGAAAACATAAAAAATAAAGCTGTAAAGAAAGCGACTTCTTCGTTATTTTGAAAATACTGATTTCGCAGTGTTGTTTCTAATTTTTTTCATTATAACTGATGTTGCTATCTAAGTGATTCCAATTCAGTCTTGAAATGCAAATCAGTACAGCATGTTTTTTTTGGTAATTCCTCTCTGTTCTTGACAAGTGCAAAGTTGGATGGAATCAAAATTTCGTTTTATGTGTTCCAAATAAGTAGGATAAACAGATGGATAGAAAGAAATGACTGTTTCAATATGTTTTAAAAACTTCTTTGTATGAAAGCCATATGTAATTTCAAACTGTAAGTGCACGTGTTCATCAAAGTACGAAGGAAAACGCCCAAAACTGTTTACAATATTTCTTGGTATTTCATTTATAAAATGTACATGTGTCAAATTAACCCATGGCGAATAACAAGAAAATTTGAGCATTCATAAAACAGTTTGAAAATTTGAGATGGTTAGATGGTTAGCGGTTTATTGCATATAATTTGACGTAAAATTCATTCGTTTTTCACAGTGACTTGTGACTTTTTATTGCAAAGGGACAAAAAAGTCATCATGGTCATCCATCCCTGATTACCTAAACCATGAGGAAACATAGGTAAACATCTACCTTACATACCATAAAAGAGCATTCGCCGAACGGCCGGTAACCTATGGACGCGAGAAAATTTGGTTACAACGTCTTGAACGTACGCCCATCCGTGCGCCCGTCCGTACAGATTCGCTCCTTTTCTCTTCTTTTCTTTTTTTTTTTGAAAGAAGGGCTAGAGCAAGAAAAGCCAGGAAACAAATCTAACTGATGTATGGAAGCTGTCAATTATTTAGTTGCATTGTTGTTGTTGATAGTGGTTACGACACGAAATTGTTTTATATAAAAGGAAAGAACCCGAGCAGTTTACGAGGCTCTTTTGCAAGAGCTTTTAAGCTCTTTTAAGCTGTCTTAAGTTCTCTTAAAAGAAATAAAAAAACGGAATCTGTTAGCGGCGAGAATCTAGATATTTTCACTCCAGCAGGCTGGAACAAAATTCAAGTAGTGTGTGAGTATAATGCAAACAGGCAGCCCTGGTAATATGTAATACACCAACTGGCATCTAACGCATATCTAATGCTTATCTAACGCATGCATATGCAGTAGTCAAATGAACCCAGCCATAGTTTCTGAGGATGTGATCCACCAGTTAGCTCTCCCACCTGGCTAATATCGCGGGCTGTTTGAAAAAGAGCAATTAGCTCTAACATTTTTTTCAAAATAATAATAATAATAATAATAATAATAATATTAGTAATTTAGGAATACGATAATATTACAATAATATTAGTAATTTAGGAATACGAGGTTTTATTCTTTTTAACTTGTTTTCTTTTTAATGTCAGAGACGGATAATTATCTTTTGTAATGACTTAATTTAAAACTCGGGACTGCCTGCAAGAGCCATTGACCGCATCAGAACTGCAAGGAATGTATTTGCGAAATCGTTATTGACATAGTGATTGCCATTTTTATGATTTATATAATTCTTAATGTTATATAGTGCTTAATTCTTGCTTCAAATATTTCTGTAAATCATGTAGATATTTTTCTTAAAGTTCAATAACGATCTTCTGGATTTTTGTAGAACTTTTAACCGGCTTTCCTGATTCTAAACGCAAGATTCTTTAGAATGTTATAATTTCTCAGTTTTCTTAATATCTGAAATTGTACTTGTAACTCGAAGATACCAGCTCAGGTACTCTAAATTCGAGATTAAGTAAAGTATATGTATGTAATGGCCCTTTTCTATGTTTAAACTTTTCACCATAACATTTACAAGTATAGAATAATCAACGCAGTTTTGTTGCTATTTTCTACTTTCTGTTTGATTATTTCCAGGGGCAAAAGAGCAATTAATTACTTTTCCATTATTATGATACTAAAAGGGTCAGGAGCAGTAATAGCCCTTTTCTCTTTTACGGCTTCCACATTGAATTGCAACTATAATTATATAAAATAATCAAGGCAACCTTTTTTTGGAACGATGATTTTTACTTTCTGTTTGATTATGCTCAAGGTCCACTGAAATTCTTTTGAAATTGCAATTTAGAACATTTAATAGCTAAGGAGCCATTCTCGCATCTTTCCGTTTCTGTCATCATTATATAATCATTACAAATCCTTTTCTTTTATTGTTTAGATTTAGCCTTAAATAACCTATTGAACTTTTGCCGGGCTTCTGTTATTTTGAGAGTGACTTCCAAATAATTCAATTCAGACTATCAGGAAAGTGATCTGGACACAAAAGTGACCGTGGGGTGTGGCAACTGAAGGCTAAATGCCTGAACAATTTACTGTCTATAGTTATAACGGCTTCAAAGGGGTAGGCCAGTATCTTAAAATAGAGATTTAGGGATTACGTTCAAGACTTCAACAAAGTCAATTTAGTTCTCACTATATTAAATCCCTTGCAAGGGATAGCAGGAGAAAGGTATTTCTGATAAGAATTAAGTATACATATATAAATATAAATGTCCTATTTTATTAACAACCTATAAATTTGTTTAATGAAATAGTAATGTGTTTTCCCACTTATACCCCTCGGTGCTGTGAACATGCTTGCATTAAGGTACTGGCCTTTGTACAAAGTTGTGTAGTGTGACCATTACTTTCAAGCTGTTTATACTTTTTAAGACATGCTGGGTATGAGCCTATAAGTGTTAGTGTAGCAATCTTCTTAGTGGATTTCAGGGTCATTTGAGACACAAATGACTACTCGGTCAACCATACACTGGTGTTTGGAGTCAGACACCCAATCATCTTTTGCAAGGTGGGGGAAACACATCTTATACCCAAGTTCTAGTTAATTACCCCTTCCCCCTCCAAATCCCCATAGAAAAACTGTCATCTAGAAATACAAACAACCTAGCATGACCAAAGAGAAACGTAATAGTATTCAACTGCATACACACAGTAACAAGCCAGAATCCCGGACAAGGATTTCAGCAGCAATGCATACAAATGGATAGACAAGCACATGGCTGAATGACTAAGGTATACTCCCCCTAAGTAACTTTCAAAAAGGCTGTGGTCACACAGTAAAAGAATCTAAGCTGTTTAATTTGTAATTTGGCTATTTTGAGACGTCTACAGCATCTCAGACAAGCTTTATCTAGAGCTTGGTGATAATTATGTTTGCAAGCAAACAATTGAATTCGAAAACTGTGATAGACTTTTTCTTTTATTTCTTTCCTTTTAAATTATGTAAAACAGAGACTAACCAAAAACTGATGCATCAAGTAACCACCCTCCCCCCACCCCTATTTGATTATCCACTCCTGGTCAAATTAAAGGAGCTACATAACCGGGTGAAATATTGGTCGCTTATTGGCAGACCTTTTTGTTTAGAGTATGCAAGCTGTGAATGGGATCCGTTACATAAGAACACAACAAAACAAAATCAAAGGTCATCAAGGGGGTGCAAGGCAGTGCAGCAACGTTCGTAAAACAATACCACAAGTGTACACCTTGGACAATCATGTGACTAAGCCTATAGGCTGCCACAATGAGCCAAAGATGGATAGAAGCAAAACTGTTAATGATGCATAGACAGCGGTAAATGGTTTGAAGATCTCCACCTACTTTATGAAGAAGCTGCTTAGTGTAACCACAGGCCGCCCAGGCTCAAGGTATATATAGAGTTTGACAACAATCATCTTCCTTTTTTGTTTTAGTGATACAATGCTGTAGCTGGTATTTTGGCTTAAACTATAGCCATTGAATACAATTTCATCGGCGGACCCATTCTTTTAATTTCAATTTTAAAATGTATGATATGTAGGCCTTTCTTCAGAAGCAGAATAAATTGGAATCTCTTTTCATTTTGTGTTAAAGAAATTAGAGCACCTGTTAATGTATCCTGTACCTTTTTGTCCGACTTTTTTTAAACAGATTTGCTTTTGCCTATATTCTTTTTACTTGGGCTCGTTAATTTGCTGGTATGGCTTTTGACCCCAATGAGCCACTAGTGTTTCTTTTTACTTTTCCTTCTGTGTAGTACTAGGATTCTTTCCAGTCTATTACTTTGATCGAATTTGATTTACTGCAATAATAACATACTCTATTTTAAAGGACGGTTTCCGTATATGGTCGATACGATCAATTAAACGTTTAGATCGCTGGACATTCGTAGCTGCCGCAGCAATCTTTCTCTACTCATGTGAATGAGTATGAGAATGAGTATCACTATTGATCGCTCTTAATTTCGCCGAACTTCGGCGAAGTTTGCTCTGCCTTCTTTTTGTACAGTACTATAAATGGATTTTACCGTACTTGTAGCATCTCTTTGTATTGAGAGCCTTGCTTTGGTGGTTCTTGCTTTTTAATTTGTAATTCCCGTCGATTTGTACAAAAGACTTGATTCTACCTTTTCATAAAATGCTAATCTTTTAAACAAACGACACAGGCAGTTGTCGGAAAATCTATCTCAGTTTAAGCAAATACAACTAAGATCAGCCCCAAGAAAGGTAATTACATTTTTGTGTTTTTGACTTTACAAAACACTTCTGGGCAGATGATTTTTTTTTAAATGATCAACACAGCAGCGTGTGGTCCATAAAATAAATAATGATTTAAAAAAAAGAATCTTGTTTATAGAGATTGTTGTTTCAGGTGGATTTTTTTTCAGTTTTTTTTTTGGCCTAAAAGCAGCAGGGCCATAACAACTAAGAAAATTAATTTTGCAAGATATCAACAAAGTTGTAGAATCAATCATCACTGGCAGTCAATTTCCAGTATTGAATGTATAATGTTTACACTGTGCATGTACGGCCTTATGATTATTTGCATGTGTTTGTAATTAAATTAGGAGTAATTTACAGTCAGAAGCAGAGAAGGACTGAAAAATGTGACACGATTTTGATATCTTCTTTATTACCATCCAGTCTCCAGCAGATATTCTGGCCCACCAATTGATACAAACAAAGGAAATTGGACGCGCGTCTTAAGTTACTAGCATTTTCTAAGATGTCCACAAATTTTACAAACGAGTCATTAAGAAGTCAGGGGAATTGCGAAATTTCGGCGGACTCGTCCCCTTTGAAAATTGGCAAATTGTTTCTTCTGTCCATTATTTTGACATTTGGCTTGGTTGGAAATGTTCTTATCATAACTTTGGTACGTGTGCGAGAAGAGCTCAGAAGGACGATAAATTCATTTATAGTTAACATGGCGGCCTCCGATCTTATTCTACCGATATTGTTAATGCCATTTAGCTTGAAAGAAAGTGCGGCCAATTCCTCAAATTACCAGTGGCCTATCAGTGGAAAGCTTGGTTCAATCTCTTGCAGACTAAATATATTTCTGGTTGCAGTCTCGATGACAGTTTCTGTGCAAAGTCTTCTCTGGATTTCACTGGATCGATTTATGGCGGTAGTGATGCCATTGAAAGCGCATCTTATCTCCTCAAGATTTCGTGCGTTTGCAATCACGTCCACCTGGATCGTAGCGGTAATAATCAATTCAATAGATCTGTGCACAACTAAGTTAGTCGAATACGATGGCAATTTCTATTGCATAAGAGAGAACATTACTTCATGGACACTTAACATCTTCGGGTATGGGCGTTTTTTCCTTGTATCCATCGCTCCATTGATTGTAATAACTGTTCTGTATTCTGCCATAGCTGTCACGTTACGAAGACAAAACATAAGCCTTCGTTGTACAGCGGTCAAGAAGAACGATCAAAGGAGAAGGCAAGCTGTTAAGATGACTCTGTGCATTATAGTTTCGTTTAATCTTTGCGTTACTCCTTACATCGTATTCGGAATGGCTTATCTATCAGGGGAAAAACTACCTTGTTCGGTAAATGGATTGCTTGGCTTTTTTTCGGTTCTTGGCATCTACCTATCTTCTACTACTAATCCTCTTATTTGCTTTATATTTGTTAAAAACTACAGACGGGGATTAAGGTGGCTATTTTCTTTGTGCCCAAGTAATAGAAGGGATACGCAAAATATGGTAAGGGAAAGGAAGATGGATGAAATTAACGTTCAAATCATCGAGTTTGACAAACTGAGGAAAACAGAGGAGTGACCTTGACATAACGATCGCTAGAGTGAATCTTTTGTACCATCTGATGATGATGACGATACCTTTATTAAAGCGTCAAAACTGTAATAACGGTGTATAACCACTAAGTGGGGACACTAAAATAAGTTAAAAAAGAATAAATCAATCAATAAATAAATTAAAAATAATAATAATAAAAAAACAGAATATAAGAATTAAGAAATTAAGAAGATCTATGTACAGTATAAGCAGATAAGAAATTCGGGAGAACTATATACAGTATGTAGAAATGTATCCATTATCATATAAAAAATAGAAATAAAAAAATGAAGAAAATGCAAAGAGAGCAATTAGAGCAGTTATTCTCATCTAACAGCATGCTAAGATCCTCTTTTCTGATGTTATACTTGAAGGAGGACAACGTGGAAGCTTTTTTCACATTACTAGGAACAGAGCTCCATACCTTTGGGCCTATATACCTGAGCGAGTGCTTTCCAAAGGAGACTGTGTTGAATCTAGGTATAGTGAAGTCATGATTGCGCATTTTATACTTAATTGCAGACTGTTCAATTAGAGTGCTAATGCATGTTGGGCACATGTTGTTTTTAACTTTATACATGAGAATAGCTATGTCCTGTAGTTGCCGGTTGTGTAGAGTAGATAGCCCGGCCATAGATAGTAATTGACCATAGGACGAATGTTTATCACAATATATAGCCCTAAGTGCTCTTTCCTGGATACGCTCTAGTCGTCTAGAATCGCTAGCACGGCAAAAATGCCATATGAGATGACAGTAGGTTAAATACGGGAGAACATTCAAGTCTTTTAAATCGTTAGCCTGTGTACAGACTCCCCCTCCCCTCCCCTAAGGAAAAATCGGAGAAGGGGCTTCTGTGATTCACCGTTGCAAATCGTGTGTGGAGGCCAGGTGATTTTCCCCGGAATGCGTGGAAAATGATTTGATTGGCTGTTACTGTGGATCACTACATGATGTAAATGAGGGATTTTGGTTGGTTTTAGGGCTTGACCTCAAAACTTAGCAGGCAACCAGAAAATCATCACATTCACGGACAACCCGCAACTACCTTTTCAGATCCAAGGATTTCGGTGAAAAAATAGGAAACTGAAATATTTACTGAAAGGTTCTTTAGCCGTCATAAAAAGCTTTAGGCTTCAAAGAAGTCAAAGAAAAACCGGTTCTAATGTAAACGGCATCCGAGAACAAATCCTGTCACAAACACCTACAGAAACATAAAACCACAGGAAATAGTAACTCAATATGCATGAAACATACCAGCTTTATGAACTCCTAATGCAAGAATCAAAGGCGAAAATAAGATTTGTTCAGTCAAAGTTTATGGTACTCCATGCACTACGATGCATAATCTACGCGGTAGAAAGAAAAGAAGGAAAACCTCAGTCTGTTGCTCAAGCAAACGCTAAGGTCACGTTTCACACTATCACGAGCTTATGAGTCGCGTCTGACCTGTCAACATTTTATTTCAAACTAATGACTTTTCGTATTCAGTGGGAAGGCTTGCAAAAGATCATGGATCTATTCCTTCAATAAATGGTGCATTACACAACCCAAAGGGCATTCTGATGTACTCATACAATCCACTTGTTCCAGTTCTAAAGGCTGTTTTCGCATTGTCAGATTCTTCCATTGGTATTTGACTGAACCCATGGGCGAGATAAAGGCTACAGAAATACTTGCCTCAGGGGCACCCAACGAGGATATAGCTTAAAACCACTTAAACATAGCATTGTTAAACGTATCTTACTATTTTAACGGTAAATAAAGGCATATTTTTATCCCCTTAAAATATTTTATCTGTTCGGATTTCCTAGCTGAAAGTCTAGTGATCCGAAAAATATAGGGATCAAATCTTAACTTTTCGAAAATTTCAGCCAGAAAAAAGGCTCCCGAAAATTCTAGGTGACCTTTTTAGGGTAAAAATCCGTTAAAAATGGACAATTATTCCATTTTTTAGATGTTCGAAAATCCTAGGAGAGGCAGGCAAGCAAGAAATGTTACAACAAATGTTCCGAAAATTCTAGATCTCGAATCGTCTTCCGAACAGATGTTTTCCGAAAATTGACGTTGGGTGCCCCTGTTGCCTCCCTTTAGGACGTCTAGAGCCTCGTTAATACGTAGTAATGGATATACGTCCTTGTGTGTCTTTGCATTCAGAAGCCGATAGTCAACACAGAGGCGCAGCTTTCCATCTCTCTTCCTAAAAAGGACTATTGGGGATGCAAAAGGACTGGATGACTCTGATGATGCCTTGGTCAAGTGACTTTTGAATGTAATCCCGTACCTCTTGCCACTGGTGCGGTGGTACTCGCCGTTGTGCCAGTTGTTTCCTCACCAAGTCGCAGAATCCAATATCATCCTCATTCTTACTAAAGGTACTCTGATACCTGCCAATGATCTGTTCTGTCAAGTCGCCTGCATCCATCTGGCTAAGGATAGCATCGGTTTTGCTGTTACACTTCACTTCATCATCTGAACCAGCTCTACGTACACAAACATGGACTTTCACCTACACGTACAAACTGTAAGGTTGGTCTCATGAAAAGTTGATATAGCAGCAACCGGGGTCCAGGGGTGTAGGTAAACATCTTTGTGACTAAAATTAGCCAATAAGATGGAAACTCTCTTATTGTTATAAGCAGTGACAATTGCTGCACCAACAGTGACTCCGCAGGGCAGCTCAGCTAGGTTAGCTGGGAAACCCTCAGCTGGTTTTACAGATCCTTCTAATACTCTAATACTGCAGGCTTGGACTAGGATTGAGCCTGATCCGACTAGACGCACATGTCCTTTATCGTTCACTATCTCTGCTACAGTCTCTTGACTCATAATTGGTAATTTATACATCTGCAATGGATGAAGAACGACGACTTCACTGCTCTGAGCTAACTTTCGTGGACTTGACTCTGCAAAGTCCACGAACTCCTTGTAAAAACTTTCAGTTATAGTCGACACCTCAGCACCAGTATAAATCAGACATCCAACATCCACACCTCCCAACTTAACCTTCACCTCTGGGCAGTTCCCTACAGCGTTCTCAGTGATTGAGTCTCCGTAAGTTGAATGTTCACCCACGACATGGCTCCCTTCAGTGGGCCCAACTAGTTTAAATTCTCTGCCCGGGTCCCCGACTGAACAGGTGGGGTTGCTGGCCTTGTGCCTTCAGCTCTCTGTGGACAATTTCTTCTCAGATGTTCCACAGAACCACACACCCAACACCTCCGCTGACCACCACCCCGAGAGGACACATCCCTACTACTCAAAGCAGCAACAAGAGACTCAATCTGTTTCTGTTGTGCTAAAATTTGCTGACTTTGCAGCCTTAAAATGCTATGAATATCTTTGCCAGCTGCTGCAGTTTCCTCAATCAGTGTGCTTTGTTTCAAAGGTGGCTTACTCATCAGCTTCATAACTCGGTCACGCGCATCAAATATGAAAGCTCCGGGTGTTCTGAGTTCAGGCGCCGCAACTCAGTCCGAAGACTCCTCACTCACTGCTTCACCTAGGCGACTCTTTAGCTGAGCGTCCCTCGTAGGGTTAAAGGAACGGTCCAGCTGGATGATACGATCAAACACCGTACCAGATGTACTCAAGTTACAAGAAGAATAACACGTTACCTAAAAGATTGTAGAAGGTAACAAGGCGATGGCAGGACTTGCCGATATAAAAATGCAAAGAAATCAGAGTGAGGACGCCATACACTATATCATGTGCGCGCATGTGCGGCCTTATCGGCCCCGCGGCCCATGTGCGCGCATGAAATATGCACTCTCACATAAGTTTGAGGTAATGGGTTGCGATTATCTGGCCACCTGTTCAGTTTCCATGCCGCAACCACTGAAGAAATTAAATATTGGTCACCTTCGATAAACATGACATTTACAGTCACTTGTTCTTCAGCAGACGGCTGAGTGTTCATGGGTTTCCTGGACAACAAAACTGCATACACATTGTCTTTGCCACTTATGAAGTCAATAGTTTAGTCATAAGCAGCTAAAAGTAATGACCATCTTTTGATTCTCGCCGCTGCCTACTGGGACAGAGGCAGTTGTGTTCACCAAATAAGATGATCAATGGTTTATGATCTGTAAGCAACTTGAAGTGCCTCCCTAACAATGGGCAAGGACTCGCGCTCAATCTTAGAGTAATTTTGTTTTGCACTGCATGTTTAGTATCCTGGTTGTAGTGTACCTTCTGGTCCAGGTTGCAAGCAGCTCCTAGCTACACCCCGGAAGCATCACACTGTAGAACTAGCTCAGCTGTGGGATCGTAGTGAAGTAGAATAGAATATGCACAGAGCAGCCTTAATACTATCAAAAGCGTCTTGTTCCGTTTTTGACCATTCCATGGTGCCTGCTTGCGAAGTAAACTGTAGAACGTTGAGGTAATTTTTGCAAAATCTGGCACAACTTTACGAAGAAAGTTTGCTGATTCAGGGAAGGACTGTCATTTAGAGACACACATAGGGGATTCTGTATCCTTTATGGCCTGCACCTTCTCAGCAGAAGGTGAAATTCCGGCAGCAGAAATGATGGTAGCAAAAGGTACTCAACTTAGTCGAACATGAAAGAAAAGTTGTCAGGATTTAGTTTAAGCCTAGATTCCTGTAATCGCTGTAATACACAATGAAGGTTGTTCAGATGGATTTCATCAATTTCTCGTGAAACTAGAATGTCATCTATGCGGACACAGCAGCCCAGAAGGTCTTTAAGGACGTTTTCAATGGTGCGTTGAAAGATAGGCACGGAACTGTTGACTCCATAAGTCGGGCGTTTGTATTGGTACAAACCCAAATAAGTGTTAATTGTGGTCTACTTTCTGCTTTCTGTCGTAATGTCCAGTTGATGATATGCTTGTGAAAGGTTGATTTTTCGCGAACTTCTTCCCACCGGACAATTTAGGCAGTAGCTCCTCTAGAGGTGGTACAGGGTATTGTTTTAGGACTGAAAACGTGTTGATAATGACAGAGTAGTCCCCGCAAATCCCCATTTGCTTTAACAATAGAAGCTGTTGGTGATGCCCACTCTGAATGCTTTACTTTCTCAATGATATCCTCCCTTACCGGCTTCTCTAGGGCATCTTCATACTTAGAACGAATTGCAAATGGCACAACTCGTGAATGGTGAATACAGGATTTTCATTGGTTACTCGCAATGAAACTTGGGCTCCTTTAAGTTTTCCAACTGAAATAGTGTCAAACAACTTGGAGTATTGGCGAACAACATCCTCAGGTGTAGTAGAGACTGTGCTAAAAATGTTCTGCCAAGGTAATGTAAACTTGGACATCATGCATCGTCCCAGAAGTGATGGTCCCCATACGTCACGTATTAGCAGGGTACCCACCTGTTTTCTAACCTTCATGGTCATCTCCTTTTCACCAAACAGTGGATGGTGTTACCAGTTAAGCTATTTAAAATCACTGTAAGAAGTTTAATTGTGTTTACTTGTGCTCCTAGCTTGAAAACTCGTTAGAATTTAACAATAGCGAACTACCAGTGTTCACCTCCATAGAGACCTTGGTGTCTCTAATTGTAACTGTAATCTTTTATAAGAAAGTCTATTTGAAGATTTACTAGAGGATAAACGGTACAAGGACAGTCTGTATTCTCTGTCTCTCCCTATTCCCTCTGGTGTTGGAGTGGGTGTAAGTTGGTGTATAGTGCTACTGCCCCCATCTTTCATTTTCTTGACACAAGCTTTAGCTAGGTATCCTGGCTTCCCGCAATAACTACAAGTAGAGTGAACACGACTACATCTGTCTGCTAAATGCTGTGATGAGCCACACCTAAAACACTGTCTTCCCCTCCATTTTTGGCTTTGAATTTGTTTGCTTTTGGCTTCCTTGGTGAGGGGTAGGCTCCTGTGAGCAGCATTTTCAGCTAGCATCCCGGCACTGGAAGTATCCGTTTTTCACTGTAGAGCTTACATTCGTTCTCTGCTAATTCATCTGCCTAAGCTGTCTTCGGAATTTAGTTTATTTTTTGCAGTTTTACTTCTCACGCCCCCAACAAATAGATCTCTGAGAGCTCTTGTAAGATAAGGACCAAAACTAAACAATTAGCGGAACTATTCTAGGTGGGCAACAATACAATAGTTGTCTTCTATATAAAGTCGGCGAAAGAACGGAAGTAAAGAGAAAGCAGAAATAAAATGAAATAAATGAATAAATAAATAAATAATAAAAGGTAGCACCTATAGTTATAAGGAAGCAAAATACTTTAACTGAATAAGGAGTTGACGTAGGAGCTGGTAATGGTACTCATATCAACTTACACCTTCTTAGTCTCCAAAACCTTTATCAGTAATATATATATAAATTTACGCAAAGGGTCTTTGCGCTGTTCACGAAACGTAAGAGGAATTTTGCTCCAAATTCTTCCACCACTTCTAGAAAAAGACAATAATAGCTGATTGAGTCTAGATCTCTGGACATAAAAATTACCTGCGGCAGAAAATCTGGTATAATGAGAGTGGATCATGTTAGAACGGACGAAAAATTCAGAAATTTTAGAAGGAGCCCGGTTATTGGTGATATCGTGCATTAGGATAGCCGAATATTTAAAGTACAGCATATTCAGAGGCAAAACACTAGACCTGACGAACAAAGGTATGGCATGAGCTCTCCTGTCAGAAAAGTACATTAACCGTAGAGCTCGTTTTTGCAATATTAGAATTTTGTTCAAACTTGAATTGGCAGCTTGCCCCCATGCAATCAGTCCATAGGAAATGTACGATTCGATTAATGAACGATTAATCTTTAAGAGAGTACTGGTAGGCACAGAATTGCTAAGCCTGGCCATGATACCAACCCCTTTGCTTATTTTTGACGAAATATAGTCTATGTGGTACCTCCATGAGAGGTGACTATCAATCAAAACGTCGAGGTATTTCACATAATGTTTTTGTTCAAGAGAAGTCAATATCTTTAAATCATTGTCATACATTTTTAAGGTTACGTTGTAATCAGGCTTACGTTGAAAGGGATGAAAAATGCCAAAATTAGATTTGCTTGTGTTTAGTGATAATTTGTTTGTATTAAGCCATTCGCAGACTTTCCTTAGTTCTTCGTTGACAACAGATTCAAAAGATTTCAAATTATTGTTTGCGTATAATATATTTGTATCATCAGCAAATAAATAGAAGTTGAGTTTCAAGGAAACACGGTAAATGTCATTAAATATAGATTATTATTCATTCAAAATATTTCCCCGATTCTGATTGGCTAAAAGCACACGTTTAATTCACCATAACCAGTTACTGGTGACCAAATTTGGAAGAAATTTGACTTTAACAAGGAAATGACGTCAAAAATGCAGCGTTTTCGCAGGTTAAGGCACCGTTAACCGAGAAGACCTGGGGACGAGGTTGAGTCGTTTTGGTTGTGAACTTGAAAAAATGGCGGACATTTCACTCGTTTCAAGAGTAAGAACTAGGCGAAAAAATAGCTAAAAACATGGCAAGAACAGCAAGAAGACAACTCGAAGGGCGACATCTGCTATTTGGAGAATATTTGCGGAGCTGGAGAAACCTAACCGTACACTACTCGGAGGTTGTTAACAGCCTCGGCCTACGGCCTCTACGGGTAACACCCTCCTCGATCTCCATAATTCTTCATAAGATACTCAGCCTCATTCATTAACTGTTAATTAAGAAAAGCAACGGCCCTTTTACACACCCTTGAGAAGCACCAAATAATATTTTCCTTTTGCTTGAAATGCTAGCTTCAACTGGAGTAGTCTGGGTCCTATCAGTCAAATACGACGCGAACCAATCATTGATATTTCCACGATGGCCGTAGTGACTCAATTTGCATAGTAGTATAGTATGGTCAACTGTGTCGAAGGCCTTTTTTGGATCAATAAATACGCCGCACGGGTACAAACCGGCGTCCAAATTATTTTGTATTCTGTTGACAATATCCAAAATTGCCTGCTGAGTAGAACAGTTTGCTCGGAAACCATACTGTACATTGTAAAAAATGTGTTTTTTTTTTTCGATAAAGGATGTGAGGCTTTTATCATCAGTCTTTTGAACAATCGATTGAACACAGATAGTAATGAAATTGGCCGATAATTGCCTGGTTCAGTTCTGTCACCTGTCTTGTAGACTGGAATGACTTTCGCATGTTTTAACTTGGAAGGATCAACACCAGTTTGGACCGACGTGTTCATTATTTCTGCCAGCGTAGCAGACACGACGTGATTCGCGCTTTTCAAAACGCGAATAGGACAGGAGTATAATCTATACGCTTTGTTTGTTGATGAGCTTATTTAATTTATTGCAAAACTGAGCAATAGGACTCATCAACTGAACTACTAGCTTTCCAATCAATTTGAAGGAGGTCCATAATGAAAGCACATGATGCACAAAATGTGAAAAGTCTCGAATCGTACGTTTTTTTAGATGTATT